TGAAGGTACCTAGAGGCTGCCGACTCATGAAACAGCTCCAAATAACGAGTCTGCGATCTTCAAATATCTTCAAAGACATAATAGCGATTTTCTATACTTCAGAGGCACAGGCAATCAGAAAATACTGACTGCTTTCATTTATCCAGATTATATGGGGCCATTCCTCACTGGATAAGCCAGACACCCGGATAAGCAGGAATTCTTGCCGGGAAAGTCCAAAATGATCCATATTTGCATTTTTTTTGTAACACAGCCAACATAATTTGTACTTCCTCTACTTTTTTCTACTTTGATTATGGGAGGATTGAAAGGATTTTGTGATAATGAAAATTTCAGCTTGCCTTGTTGTTCATCTGCTTGATGAAGATCTTGAGTGTGTTTATTACGCAACTTAACACAACAATAAAATTTCTGTATATAAGCTTGGCAATATCAGTTTTGACTGCCAGCTGCTGAAGCATCACTAATTGAAGGCTCTGCACTTAATTTTTCACCAAAAGTTTTCCTCTTCCCAATAGTGTGCCTCGCTTTAAACTGGAAATCCAACCATCACTTGCTCAAAAATCCAACATTCCAAGGCTGGGTGCGAACCGGCTTGCAGCATTTCTTAATTCATCACCGCAAATTGTCACACGCACTGTGTGGTGCTGTGCAAAAATCACTTATACAAAGCCTCATCAAACTGCATTCTGTGCAGGCTTCAAAGTTTTTCTATTACACCCTCTACTAGTGTAGAGGGTGTAATACACTCCCTCACTCTCACCAGTAGCTATTTCATGTAGACATCTTTGTTTCCTTATATCAGAGATGGTAGTAGTGCCAATACCAAATCCTTGGTAATGCTCATAGCTGACTGACAACTTTCACAAAGTTCAATGACAAGTAACTTATCTTTACTGGATAGCATACCTTTCTTCCTCTCAACACCCCAAGACTGCTGCTGCTACCAGACATAGTCATGGCAAAAAATTACAAAAGTTACTATGAAAACAAAAAAGCTAGTTAAGAAAATTTGTCAGTAATGGAATGACACTATGGTATCACATGAGGGGAGAGAGACCACATGGTTGTTTAGGTTGACTGGGCCTGGACAGGTCCACTTCGGGGCATGTTACATAGGCCACCAGATGAAAAGAAACACTCTTAATTTTAGCAGGGAAATATACTCTGCAGCCTGTACATGCAGTTTTCAAGAAATTATTATTTGTTATATTAGATAATATTCCTTTATTTTTTACTATAGTGAATTAATATAATTTTTTTGTTGTGTAGTAACCATAGACCCCTTCACATGCCTCTCGTCCCCCAAACGGTCCCTCCCGACTATCCCCCATTTCCCCACATCCCCTTTCCTAACACCACCCACCCCAACACCTCCCATTCCCTGTGCCTCCAGCAACTGCTGTATGGGATTAATACAGTATGGCCCAATGCCATTCTCAGTTATCTGGACAAATTCCTAGTTATCCGGATTTTTGTCTGGATATGGCGAAATTTTGCAGAAAATTATCTGGACTTGATTTTGGCCAGATAACCCAAAGGTCTGGTTGAACAGACTCTGGATAACCAAGCTCATACAGTATCACCTACTATCCAGGAATGAAAATTGTGTAACATTGTGGTGTTTATTATTTTGCTGCAAGGCCACCAAAGATAGATTTATTGGGCCCAGGTTATATCTTACAGAAGCATCATCCTCTTTCTCAGTGTAGTTTTGTATTTGTTATCAACCTATTAGATGCAGGCTGTAATTTGACTCTGGTATATAAAATTAAGTGATTGTTACATAATCTTTTTCAGAATGAAAGCCAGCGCTTTTATTGATAGTTTTTTTTTATTATTTTTTATATATGCCTTTGTTTCTGCAATATTTGTGGAAGTAAACATAATTAGAATATAAAATAGCAGTGACCTTTTTTAATTAATATCACTGGAGTAATCTTAAAACAAAGCAGTGCAAGAGCTCATTAAAGTGTGTCTTAAATTTGCATTACAGCATGGCATGTAGCTGAACGAAATTCGGTCATGACTGGTTATGATGTCGTGTTGCACTGAATGTCCTCATGCTGATTTATAAAACAATTTAAGATGCACCATGTTTCATAATCAGACAGTTTTTCTGGCAGAAGGCTCCAGTTCTTCGTTAGAATTATTATTTATTTGTATTATGTTACTATTAGCATTTTTAAGATATTACAGCCATTTGGCATCAGCAATTATGTGATATTTCTATATAACAGAGAAAAGCTTTTGTAATATTTAGTTAAGAGCTGTGATTATGACAGCTTCAACAATCTTGTGATTTATCATTTATGTAGTTCTAAATGAAACTTTTTGTAAGTAAAATGGTATTATTTTCCTAAATCAATAAGTTAAACTAATTGATATAACAGCCTGTCAAATGAAGATACAGTGGAACCTCGGTTTTCAAATTTTTCTGTTTTCAAGCTCGATTTCTTTGTAAAATTTGACTCGGTATTCAAGGTTTGCCTCGGTGCTCAAGTTTGTTGCTATCCATATAGGCTGACCGAGCACGTGGCGCGTTTCAGTTTACCATTGTCTCCCACTTAGTGACGACTGCGCTTGAATTCTTTGTGAAGAATTTAATTGTATTTGTGCTTTTTTTATTTTTGAACATAAAATTTATTTTTATATATCACGCCGTGGGTCTCTTGAAAGCGTTTCAGTGGCCATCATTTGTGAAAAAGCAAGGCTATTGCATAAAGATCTTAAAGAAAACCCCTGGAACAAGTGATGCAGATATGGTGAGCAGGGGATGATTTGAGAAATTTAGAAAAAGAATTGCTAATCATAGTGTTGTGAGGCATGGGGAAAAACAAATGTCAACAGACAGTTTCTTAGTGACAAGCAAGCAATGAGCCACAACCATGTTCAATTGGTATGCTTGCAAAAAGGAGAGTACACCTCAGAAATGTCATCACTGCCTGATGTTACAGTATAATGGAACAGGGTACTCCTTCCACCACCTTCCCACCGTCTTCCATACACCAACAAGAGTCCTCAACAAGGGTAAAATATACTTGTACATACTTTACACATACATCTTCTATTTTGTACTACATTAAGTAATTATCAAAAGAAAGCACCAAACCAGGAAGGCTATGTAGCACCATCAAATGTGTGGGATAATCAGAGGGCGCTAAATATCACCAAGGATGCCAATATGAGAACAGAAACGCATAAGGCAAACGATATCAAAAGTATCAAGAATACTATCGAGGGACAAGCGACCGCGGGGGACAGTCGGAAAACAAGACATACTCTTGTCCCGGAAGTCAGGACATTCAGCAAGGATATGCATGACCTAAGAGAGAATGCAATTTGGACAATAAGGAGCAGGGTGGCGCTCGAAGTGACCATGAGTTAAGCGAGTATGGAAAATACGCAACCTCGCCAGAGCTGTTTCCCATCGCCAGTTATGGTGGTAGCAGGATGGCTACGAGGACACACAACTCTTAAGAGTACGCAGTTTGTTTCCAATAACAGAAGACCAACAAGCCTGCCAATGGGTAAGGATGGAGGAATGGATAACCAGGTAAAAATCGGAATAAGGAATACCTTTACGAGAGACGGGACAAGAGCGGACAGCTTCCCTGGCAGCAGCATCCGCGCACTCATTTAAAAGACACCAATATGGCTGGGAACCCAACAAAACTCAACCGACTTAAATTTACTGTGAATAAGAAACAGCCAATGCTGGATCTCGACAACCACTGGATGAACTGGATTTAAGGACCCGAGAGCCATGAGGGCACTACGAGAGTCAACAACAACTACAAAGGAAGACTGACAACGAGAAAGCAGGAGACGGGGAGCATAGAGAATAGCATAAAGTTCCGCTGTGACGATGCTAGTCTCCGGAGGTAAGCGACACATATAAGTGCAATCATGTATAAAATGTATGTTTAAGTTAATATTTTTGGGTATGGAATGGATTAATTCAATTTACATTGTTTCGTAAAGGAAAATTCGTTTGGGTTTTTTAATTTTTGGTTGTCGAACTGTCTCTGGGAACAGATTAAATTTGTAAACGAAGGTACCACTGTACTGTACATGGTTTTTACGCCGATTTCCACGAACTCCAATTTCTGACTTCGGTTTTTCACTTCTGTGTATGTCTCTAGGAGCCGATGCTTGGAGATTGTCCTAGTCACTTCTGCGGTTATTCCATTCTCCCTCTCCAACCTTTGCTGGGACCCTTAACTCTACTGGTATCTTGGTCTGAAATGATGCTCCCTTTGTTCCATTGATCTCCCCCTACACATTCCACTTTCTCTTCCCGATATTAAAAATGTTGTACTCGTTACCAAAGCCTGTGGTCCTTTTGGGAGATTAACTGTTGGCATGCCCTCTGGGGTGATGATCTGACAACTATACCAAGGCTTCCTTCTTGAACCTTTTGTTCTTTACTGAATTCTGGTGAATACTCGTGTTGACCCCACACACTTACACCCTTTTCTGTCTTGATCTTTCTCTCACACGTTTTTCTATTTATATAGACCTGACATGAAGTTTTTATGACCTCCATTTAAAAAAAAAATATTTCCCCCATCCTTGTAACCTTTTCTTTCATGACCAACAAACCATAACTCAGATGATGAAGCAACAATGTTTTGGTCCGTCCTGGACCATTATCATGTTTTCTTCTTTTCATCCACCTTTCTCTTTCATTCCCTCAGTGGCAGTTTGATAAGACTGACTGCAATCTATTTACTTTCCATGCTACTCCTTCCGACCTATCTGATTTGCCCCTCTGTCAAGCCCTCATCTTTTTTCACAATGCCTGTTTCAATGCTGCCCTCCACTCTTGTTTCTTGCTATATAGTACCCCAAGGCCAAATACTGATCTTTCCCAGGATACAATCAACAACTGCTTAACTTCTAGGTACCTATTTTACTGCTAGGTGAACAAACATCAGGCGACAAAAAACATGCCTAACCATTTTAATATAAGTTGCAGGAAAGAATTGAAAAAGCTATTTTACAGAATATTTTTTAGCCACAAAAGGTTTCAGAAATCTTTTATTATACAAACTATTATCATACACACCATCTTGATTTAAAAAATTTCTTTGGATATAATATGTATTGGATGAAGGTGTTCACATGTAGCATGGAATGCAATAAATAACACACACACATTTTAACCAGCAACAACTTATACTGTTGCGTAGCCAGCATTCCTCACACATTACCAAAGAATATGCACACAAATATGCCAGATTGTGTCTAGTCAAAATGACTGGAGTGGGGGAAAGAAACGGACCAAAAATTAACACTTATAGTCGGAACTTATCCTGTGCTTCAAGATTTATTCTTTAAAATGCTTGATGGGTTAAGAAATAAAAAATACTTAAATGCATGTTGAATAAGCTTATAACAGCCCGACCTAATTACCACTCCCCAAACTTCAAAATAACAATTACAGCAGTTTCATCTGTGTTCCACAAACCAAGTGTTGACTTGCATTAGAAACTATATGATAAATGCTGTACAATACACAATACATTAATTCTGAAATAATGTTCAGCAGCAACCCCTTTTGTTTTGTGAAGGATTATTTCAAAATGAAGACTAGAAACTTTAAGGAAAGGTATTAAAAGGACAAATAAAACTTTAGGAACTTGCCTAACATTGATACATCTTATTAAGCTACTATAAAAAGACATGTATGTATATAAGCATGTGTACACATATGTATACATGCATGCATGCATGCATACATATACAAGTAAAGCTTGAATGGTCCCCAAGCATAAATAACACTAACTCTGAGCCCTCAGAGGATTCAAACCCAGGCTGCCAGAGGTCTTCCCCCTAACAACATTGCTACCATGACTACTGCACCATAATCAGTGCAGTGGTCATGGTACCAGTGTTTGTGTCTACATATACACAAACACCGTATATATAGACACAAACACTATATAAATTTTAGAAACGTGTACTACCTAATAGGTATACACAAAGGGCAAACTGCACAAATGTGAATCTGTATAGTAAAATATTCAAATGATGTTCCTGCTCATTTCCTGCTGCAATACTTTTACCTATGAATTTAATTGCATTCCATGTATTGCATACAAATAATCAATCAAGGTCAACAACACATCAATGAAAACAAATCCACTTATTTATTTGTATATTTAATATGTGTATTTAATAACAATTAATAAAGAATCTGCATACATCTTCATATTTCCATGATTCATTAGTGCCACTAAATGCCCTCATATCTTTCACACTGTGCTACTTGGAGCCATTGTCGGTGGTGCTCGAGTGAACATGTTGGCAACCTGAAAAATTGGTACAGTAACTTGTAAAACTACAGTAATTCAATACTGTATTCACTAAAACACACAATATCCATTCTATATTTTGTAATTATATAATTTCATATTAAATCATCTCCTAATACTGTAACAACAAATAATAGATAATACTGGTATTTGTTTAGCTATATTACTTTGTTGCTCCCTTAGGCAAGATTCTGCTGGTATATTGGAAAGCATCTTGTGCAATCAGAAACAGTCAAAATTACTAACAGGCACAGGGAATCTTTCCAATGTCCTTGCTCTGTCACACTGGTACACGAGACGCAGAGCAGGAGCTAAAGCCGAAGAAAGACTACAGCCTGTGAATCCAACTTCTCTGGAACTTTATCCCAACCAAGAACAGACAAGAGCTTGCCCCAAAATGACCTCCCCAAGCAGTAGGGAGAATTCTGCTGCAGAAACAAATGACCGAGAGGTTAAAAAGAAACAGGTGTTGCCGAGAGAACCAAGGAGATGGTGAATACAAGAGGGACAAGGACTAAGCCGAATCTAAGGCATGTACCAAGACAAGGCATGGTAAGACAAATGAGAGGAACAGAAACTTGCCTCCATCTCCCGAAGGAGAGGAGCGAACAACTTGGACAAAGCCCCAACTGCAGGCAACAAGGCATCCAGGCTGTCTGGAGCTAAGCACAGAACAGCTTCACTGCAGCCCAAATGCACGGGTGTCGTTTATCCATGTTCTTCACACTAACTTTTTTCTTTTGTGGTTCTTTCCCTTCTGCCTGTTTGGTAGGTGGATGACTGAGTACCTTCTTCTCAATCTGGTCTCCCATTGCTTAGATATTTTGGTTGAATCTTGGGGGACATCTATGGGGGTGATCTTTGCCTCCCCCGTCCCCATTTTGACATCAAAGTCTAGAGTCGGCCATCTCCTCCTGTGCTGTGGGGTGTCTCGTTACCAAAGTGAGATACACTGACCCCACGGTTGGTTCTCATTCGTTTTAGTATGTGGGGCATCTTCCCTGTCATTTCTTCCACATGCCTTTTGCTGCCAAGTCCACCTGGCCTGGAGGGTGATCAAGTTACTATACCTGACTTTTATGGGTGCATTTTGATACTTCCCTCTTCCTGCAAGGTACAGGAACTTACTAGGGTTCATGTTGACTTCTTACTTCTTTGAGGTTTTCCCTTCAGTCTGAACCTGGCACGTAGGTCTTTTACAAGATTAAAGTGGGTCATGGACTCTCGTTATCATCTGTTGGAGTTCCACATTTTTACCTACCTTGGGCTCCCACCCTGTCTTCCAGCCAGGGCTCTGGTTCTCTTCCTTGGCAAAGTTTGGTTCCTTGTCACCTGCTGGAAGTTCCAGTTGGTTCTGTCACAGCTCTGGACTAACTGTGCCTCATTTGGGCTGCCATCAGGTGGTAGTTGGGTACATAACAGTCAGGGTATTTACCCCCATGACAATGAACATTTGCCTTCTTACCTACGGGTGCCTAATTTCCATCAAGTAGTAGCTTGTTTTGTTGCTGGTTTTCCATGTTTTGTGATTGATCTCTGGCTCCCTGCTTCCATTACCTTGTCAAATGAGCCAGATTTTGGTCTTGCTCCCTGTAGAAGCCATTGTGGGGTTCCTTCCAGAAATGGCAAATGTCTTGCCTTAATGGCAGGTCCTGGAACCAACTAATTAATTCAAGCACCCTACTACTATACAATTAACATTCAAGTTATAACAAAATTAACAGTTAAATTGTTTAAATATGAAATTAAATCAACTTACATTACCCATCATCTGCTTCTGAACCAATCCTGTTGCCATGTTCTTAAAGGATTGTGTAATACTCTCAGACTTGCCAAACTTACACCGTACATAACCATACAAATTGCTACCCGTTAGGGATAGGGCAATCAATACAACCATCTGAAACAAGATATACTTATAAGAAACGAGGATATTATTCTTCAGTAATTGGGTAAATTTCTATACAGTATAAGAAAAAAGGGGCTTCACTGAGTTAATAATGTTGGCTATAATTTACTGCTTAAAAACATAAATTCAACATGAAATATATTTTTTTTTTTACTTTAATTATGTCATTAATTTTAACACCAAGACAATTAAAAATAAGAATGTAATAGTCATGTACAGTTTAAGATACTTCAAGTATGATGTACATCATTGGTTAAAAGACATGCAGCTTCATGCGTGTCTTGCTCATGAACTAAATGAACTTGTGTGTTGCTTTGTCAGCTTATGAACTAAGCATCACCTTCATTTTCAAGTAAACTAATGTAAAAAAAAAAATCTTTGTTGGATTTAAATAAATTCAGACAAAATCAATATATAGACACAGACTAAAATTTACTAGACTATTTCCAAGTTATTGAAAGTTTAACCAACAATAGTTATTCAAATGAACTAAACTAGCTTGAAACATTAACTTCAGCTGGGTGTTGATGGGGTGACTAAATCAAATACAGTAAGGCAAATACACTTTATGGGCAGAACTGTACTGTAAAACTTAGAATAACATACTTACAGCCCATCTGAACTTTAGGAAAGCTACTGCAATAAGGAAGAGGATGGTCCAAATAACGGGGAAGGCCACCAAGGAGACCCAAAACACCCGCACTTCAGTCTGAGACACTCTGCCCTGAAGACCACCCTAGCATCAGGCAAAGTTATGTTATGGATATATTTGTCTACTACCTAGCTCATTCACACAATATTACTAGTAAAATATAAAATATATATCTTATTATATTCACATTCAATAAATACTACAAATATTATTATTATGTATTGTACTTTTTTCTACTACTTCTTGCACACAATTTAGCATTTGTTCATTTCTTTACAATAAAGACATACATACTAGTATAGTATCGCAAGAAGTTTTAATCGTTTCTTAACCTTAACGTATGGCTATGAATTTTCACACATGTCCACCTATGCACAAAAATAGTCAATATTTTTCCTTGTAGAATAACTCCCATGCATAATGTATGCAAAAGTGGAAATAATCTGAATACACCATTATCTACATTGCAGTCCATTTCGTGCAGTGAACAAGTTGCATATGTGGTGACCCAGCATCCTTTTTTCAACAGCAGACTTTACATCAACTGTTCATAATGGCTAAGCCAGATGACTCAGACAAGTCTCAGTGTTGACCTTGGATATATGGACAACCATTTTTTTATGGATATGTATGTATGAATGAATGAATCAATAAGAACACATGATAATAAATAGATAGCTCCCATTTATATCCTCCCAAACTCACTTATATAAAGGCCTACTGACCCACATATGAATGAGCTTGTGTGAATATAAACAAGAACTAAAGGTTAAAAACCCACCCTTGTGTATTTATGAAATTTATGTAAAGAAATTACTCCAAGTCTTTCGCACTCGCCTGAGTGCTTTATCAAGGTCTGAGTGTGTCTTAGGACAAGACTTACATCTTACGTCTAATGTTGAGATGTAAGTTTCGTCTTAATGATTAGGACAAGCTTTATTAATGACAGTCTCATCCTAACTAATGATTACACATTGGGATGTAAGTAATTATCAAAGAAGGCACCAAGCCGGGAAGGCTATGTAGCACCATCAAATGTGCGGAATAATCAGAGGGCGCTAAATATCACTAAGGATGCCAATAAGAGAACAGAAATGCATAAGGCAAACGATATCAAAAGTATCTGATTCACCAAGAATTCTATCGAGGGACAAGTGACCGAGAGGGACGGTTGGAAAACAAGACATGTGCCCGTCCTGGAAGTCAGGATATTCAATAAGGATATGCACAATTGTAAGAGGAACAGTGCAGTTAGGACACTAAGGAGCAGGGCGGCGCGATAGACATATATGAAGTTGGTGTCCGTGAGTTAAGCGCATATGGACAATACGCAACCTTGCCAGAGTCGTTTCCCACCACCGGTTACGGGTAGGAGGAAGGCCACAAGGACGCACTACACTTAAGACTACGCAGTTTGATACCAATAACAGAAGACCAGCAACCCTGCCAACGGGCAAGGATGGAGGAATGAATAACTGGGTAAAAGTCGGAATAAGGAATACCTTTACGGGAGATGGGACAAGTGCGGATAGCTTCCTTAGCGGCAGTGTCGTTGGGATGTAAGTCTTGTCCTAACTACATACTCAGACCTTGACAATGCATGCAGGAGAGTGCGAAAGACTTAGTGTAATTTCTTTACATAAATTTCATAAATACACAATTATGGGTTTTTATCCTATGTAATTATGTCTATGAGAAGACATTACCATTACTTAATAAGAACTGTCTTGTATGGGTCAACAGGCCTTTTGCAGTTGCATTTTTATGTTCAAATGGTGATTGGTTGATCTGGTATATTTTATTACAACAATATAAAGTTGTGAAAACATTATGAACATAATTAGTATATATATGTAATCATAATGGAATTTTATACCATTATGATAAGCACATTGGTTTAGTAATGTAATCATAAAACAACAGTCGGATTTTACTCATGGGTTAAGGTAAATTCCACTTAATAGTTATTATATCCATATTAGCAACATTGGTGTAAAGTTCAGGCAATAATTGTTTAAATCAACATATGATAACCACATTATCCTGCAAATCAGCATATGACAATTCCACATTTTCCTGTGAATCAACATATGACAATAACCCCATTACTCTGCAAATCAACATATGACGATAACCCCATTACTCTGTGAATCAACATGATGATAACCACACTTTAAGGGTTATAAAGTAAGAAAATGAGGTATGGCACACTAACAGCCCCATTCAATGCTGTAGAAATTGCTGACCTGGATAATGTGCTAAGATCCTTTAAAGGAAAATGGACTGGCTAGCAGCTGAAAATATACTGCAAGGCATAGACTCCTTTTGTCTTAAAACCTATAGTCCTTTCCTAGATAGAAGTGCCACTGATGACACTGTCGTTCCATCAATTTAGATGCTGCACCAGTTGTTTGAGCCATGAGCTCTAGTTTTATGCTTTTAAATCTGTACAGATATACTAGGTTGATTTTGGCTATTGTTACTTTTATAGTTACACATTAGGTGGAATTTAGCATTCCAGGTATTTGATAGCATAATATCATAATGAGAATGGAATGTCCTCCGATTCATATACCACTTTCGTTCTGTATCGTGTATGCATAGCAATCTATTGTGCACACTTCAATCCTGTCAGGACTTGGAGCAATTATCTACATTCTTTATTCTCTGGTTGTTAGTGCTAGTACTTCATTCACCTTCCTAGTTGCTGTGACATGTTTCTGAGCTTGGACTGCAGGAATCTATGTGATTATATGAATCATGTCATCTGTAAACTGGGTGTCACTGATGTACTGGTTGTGGAAGGCTTATATGAAGATGGTGAAGAGAGCACAGGCTTAGGCAGGAGCCCTGAGGTATGCCAACTGTTGAAATGAAGGCGTTGTAGCATTTGATGGCTTGTAGATGAAACCATTATGGCAGAGACTATCAATCTGGCCATTCCCGTTTCAACTCGCCTCTGAATACCACTCCCACACACCATTATCGACACTTTAGCCTGACTGACTGCCTTTCGTACCTGCTTCACTTTATCACTTTCACATCAGACATAACAAAAAAGCACAGTTCTTTTCAAAATATCAAAGAGTTGTATTGCTCACCTTGTATTTACCACATCAACTTTATGGGTACTACCCTCCACTTTTTTAATAACCTTTATTTTCTGCTCAAAATTCAGTGCAATGTTTCCTCTAAGTTTGATGCTACCTAAAACAACTGTTGACACATTATCTGTATTTTAATCAAGCATGATGGCAAGATGCTCAGGATTTTTAACAAAATATTAAAGAATGTGAGGAGAGAGAATTAAACATAATAGTCTGCTGAAATAGGCTAAGGTTGGACAGCAGGTTGCTGCTTGTATTACCAAGAAACAAGCACAATCTTATTTGTACATTGCCTATAATGTGAAATACTTAAAAATGTATATTTAATCCACGCTATTTATGACCAAGATGCTCAAATTAAAATCTATTGAATGTTTGGATTAGATACTCAACTTCATTCCATATCTTTGATCAACTTCAGGAATAACACGCACATTATTTGGACAGTTAAGCATTTACTTACCTTACGGGCTTCAAACACCCAATGGCTTTGGCCTTCATCATCTATATAATTCCACCACCGTAGTCCAACCATAAGACGTCCTTAGGTAGAGATACAATACATAACAGATCTATCAGTTACTAAACAATACAAAACAATACAAGTTCACTCAATAATACCTGATAAGAAGTATTTTCAAACAGCTTTGATTATCTGAAAACTTTCTATTACCCCTACAGAGTTAAAAACTAGCAACAACTTTTTCTGGTTGGGCATCGGTGGCTACCTGTGGCTAACTTGCTGAGGCAGCTCCACACATGAGTCGCATCAGCCCTAGGAGTCCATATTGCCTACCAGATACCAGAGCCAGAAAAAGGGCTCCTCACAGAGGTGCAGGGAGCAGTGAATTGTTATATCACCCTCACCAAGGAAACATCCAGAAAGTAAACATGGTTAAACAGACAACTGCAAGGTTCACAGAGAAAAGAAAGAAAGCAGCAAACAACTATGTAAACTATCCACCCAGCAGTCAGGTTAAAACTGCTAATTATACCACTGGGAGCCAGAGCTCCCCATGTCAACACAGCTCAGCCAGGAGCCAAACACACCACCCACCAGCAAACCTTGAAATGAGGGAGGAACCAGGGAGCCACCGAGGTAAAAAAGTTTCATTACATTCAATGCTTGTTTTTTTGGAGGGGCTGAACGTGGCTCCCTGCAGCTATCCACAGAGCATAAGGAAAAAAAGGAATGTACCAGCTAGAGAGAGACTAACATGGTAATGCAAATAGCTGGATAAGGAATGAAGCTGTTCAATCCTCAGAGGTAGAGAATTTACCATAAGTCCACCTAGCCCCACTTGCAGGCAATATCAACTGGAACATCCACCAAAGAGTGGTGGGTAACTCGACTATGCTAGTATCCAAGTTGCAATGATCTTGCATAGCTGAGGGAAGGACTCCTGATCCAAGATACCTGAATCTAAAGGAGGTAGGGGGGAGTGGACGAATGTTACCAGCGACTCTGGGAATGAACCCAGATATTCAACAAATTACGAGGATGAGGAACTGGCACAAGAGGTCAGATGTCCCCCACAATGTCTTCAAAGGGGTGAACTATGAAAGGGCCTGTGCCAAAAACCCTAGAGCAGAAGCACCCTTCTGCCATGCCTGAGAACAACAATGCCTAGATGAGGCAAAACCAAAGGACAAGTACCACAGCCTGGTAATCAGATTCCACCAAGGGTCTACCCAGACTAACCACAGGCACTGGCCCAACCTGGGAAGATCACCTCCAGGTAGCAAGGACAGAACCTCTCTACAAAAACAGAGTATAGAGTAATTATGTATTGAGATGTTGGAAAGAGTAGCTGCAGCCAAAAACACTGAAGTAACAGCCTCCACAGGAAAAAGAAGAGACAAAAATGAGGAGGCAGAAAAAAAGGTTAGGGACCAGATGAATCTGAAGCCTAGGCTAGCATGACTCAACATGAGATGGGCAAGTCTAGCACCGTCTCCTGAAGGAAGGGAGTGAGCAACTTGGACAAAGCCATTGAAGCCGGAACTGCAGGAAACAAGGCAGCATAATGAGGCACCAAAGTCAGAACATCCAGACCATGCTGGAGCTCGGCAAAAAACAGCTCAACTACAGTCCAGATGTGCAAAATGAAAATGGCTGCAAAGTGGGCATGGCACTGTGATCCTCCATGGCCTGGACTCCAGTGAGCAAAGGCAGCTGCACATGGAATTGCCACGTGTATATGGATAGAACTGGAACAAACCGCTTTCAAGCAGCTCAAAAGAAGCACTGCCCAAGAATGTCTGAAAGATGGAACTCTTCTCCCACACTCAACATTTGGGTACGGGAAAAACCTTGCAAAGCTTCCAAGGAAAACAAGAACCTTGTACTGCAAAGAAGAGGCTGAAACTGACCCAAACTTGAATGAGGCCAGGCTCATTAAAGGCAGCGAGGTCCTGCAGGATCACGACCTCCTAGTTACAGTAGTGGCCAGCAGTAATTAGGAGGGCTTGAACTATAGTACTGGTTGGATCATTTAAAGAATCATTTGCTGCTTCAGTTTTGTTTCTCTGTGAACCTTGCAGTTGTTTGTTTTGCTTCACTTACTGTCTGGATATTTTTTAGTTGGGTGATTGTAACAATTCCGTACGCTCTGCACCTCTTTGAGTGGACCAGGCTCTGGCTTTGATAAGCTATTAAGGACTCCTGGTGTTTATGTGACTCCTACATGTGGAACTATCTCTGTGCTAGCTTCAGAGAGCCACTGAGGCCCTTCCTGAAAATTGTATTGGTAATTAAGTAATTTATGTATCACATGCCCCTAAAATTTACCTCTTCTTGGCAAATGTTTATACAAACATTGTAAATACATTGTACTATACTGTACAAGGTATATTTTGACAAATATTAGAGCACTAGATGTACCATTTGTTGTTATAGAGCATGTAATTACATCCCTATACCTTCTTCAATGTAGATACTATAAGATGGAGAAGACTTGGAATAAAATTACTATACAGCCTGTACTGTTCATCATTTTTTTTTTTTTTTTTTTTTTTTTTTTTTTGAGATATATACAAGAGTTGTTACATTCTTGTACAGCCACTAGTACGCGTAGCGTTTCGGGCAAGTCCTTAATCCTACGGTCCCTGGAATACGATCCCCTGCCGCGAAGAATCATTTTTTCATCCAAGTACACATTTTACTGTTGCGTTAAACAGAGGCTACAGTTAAGGAATTGCGCCCAGTAAATCCTCCCCGGCCAGGATACGAACCCATGACATAGCGCTCGCGGAACGCCAGGCGAGTGTCTTATCACTACACCACGGAGACTAAAGACCACCCCATCGAAGTACTGTACTAAGGATCTGAATCTTCATACAATTCACAAACTTAGGATAAAAAACCCACACGTGTATTTGTAAAATTTACGTAAGGAATTTATACCAAGTCTCCTGCACTTTCTTGAGTGCTTTGTCAAGGTCTGAGTGTGTGATTAAGACGAGACTTACATCTTAACGTCTAACCACTGCACTGCACACCTGTTTTGGCAAAAACTTTTTAGTGCAATTGTCAAGGACATATTTTTGTTGTTTTTATAAATGTTCAGGTAAAGTTAATGTCAAAATGTTTCCAAACTAAACTATTTCCATTTCAAAACACAAAGAGTAATGAAAACATTAAAAACATTAAAATATAGCCTAATTAAACAAAAAATTGGCACAACTCTCAGAGTGCCTAAAGGCGCTTTGTGCAATGCAGTGGCTAATCATGTTGAGGCGCAAGTTTCTGATTAGACGTTGAGATGTAAATTTAAATTGGTGTAAATTCCTTTCATAAATTTCACAAATAGACAAGTGTGGGTTTTTTAGCCAATGCTATTATGTCTCTGAGAAGACACTACCATTACTAATCACAAAATTTTTGTGGAATCAAGCATTTCTTTGAAGAATGAGGGTCTTTATCAACACTCCAGCATTCCCTCATACTCCTTGCATTAATATTCTTGATAACTGTTCCAATATAGTTTTAGTTTTCTGATCCATTATGACCTTATGTACAATATGCTTAGTTAGGGACAAGAAAAATATGAGAGATTTAAATGAAGGGAGGGTAGACTTCTTCCCTACATTTGTAGGGGAGGAAGTCTATGAAGCCTGTGTGGCATAACTTCTGAGCTCTGACACATGACATTCTTGCTAGAAACTTTATTACCTCAATTTTCTCATCAGTATACTAGATACACACAATTATGCCATAAGCTTTATCTATATTTTGCTCATATTTCAAAAATTTCATAACAAGATCAAATGAAATTTGATGACGTGTCTTAGCATCATTGAACAGATTACCACATAACCACGGCTAGTGCTAAAAAGCCATCATCAAACCAACAAAGTATTCAATTTTGTTTAGAACTAATTTCTCTTACCTGTAATGTTCTTGACTGTCCAAAAGTCCATAGAAAGAAGCAAGACAATTGTAATGAAGGAACCAATGAAGCCATCACTAAACAACCCACACAACTCATACACAACTAATGCAGCCGTACGAAACAGTAGATGAAATACTGTCACCGCTGGATGCCTGTAAATAAAAATAATCACCCCATTACCAAATGTTATGTTTTTTCCTTAAGAAAAAAAAACACCGAGCATTTTGAATACTGTAAAGAATATAAACCTATTTTATTGTATTATGACAATGCTTTAACCTATTGAAAAAATGAATCTAAACTGTAAGAATTACTACCACAAGATTGTACTGTATTAAAATCTCACACTAGCACATTAAACACGCTCACACATTAAAATCAAGGATAAACACATAGGAAGGTCATTGTAGACTTTCAACACTCCTTTATTATTGTGTAAACTAATAGTAAATAAGCCAAAACCTGATAGAATCAAGTGAAACTTATTAACAATCTTTCAATAGACTCACTCACTCAATACACACACAATCAATATTCCAGTCATGTCTAACTAACAGCAGGAAGCTTCTGTGCTAAGAATATGAAGTACAGTATTCCAGTTTTATCAATAAGATATTTTATTCACAGTCATTACTTATCTAACAAACAGAACATATTTTGGTAATATTACACACAGATAAATAAACTAAGAAATACTGTACTAACTTTAACTTTCCTTTGGGTTCATCCTCTTCACCAAAACCAAGTGTATCATCATTATCTAGTAAAGGCACCTGTAAAATAGATTGAATTTCTGAGCTTATATTTCTATTCCACATATTTTATTTTTTCAGGTTAAACACTACACATACAGAATTTAAACTTTTCAATTTAACTAAGTAACACTACAGTAATTAAGGTAATTTTTCCTATACCCGATATAACTGGATAAAGCGTGCCTTAACTGAAAGCATAATGCAGGCTGACAAGCAAATTCATTAGCTCATTATTAGCCATTTCAAAACAATCACTTGGATGAGCAAGTGCCTGGATGCATGGAGGACCTCTACAAGGCAGAGGCTTCCCAACCACAACACACACAACTCATTACCACCATCTATTTTTCATCATTGCCTTTGGCAAGTGCAGAATCTGGGACGATACTAAAATTTCTAATGATTCCAGTATTGATGCCGGGTCCGCTAAAAAGTGTATTCCGATACAATTATTAATTTCAATTTGATTATTTTAAATAATAGTTGGATATTTTTCTGAAATTTTGTAAACCGTATTTTAGTTTGGAAAAATTAAATGCATCATAATTAGGACATTATGAGCATGGTAAATGTACTATATTAATTAATATAAGAGATTAAAGTAAAATTTTGACAGCAATTTGGGACGAACTGTAATCAACTTGTAACTGTTATCATTACTAAGAGTATATTAACGAACAGTTTAGTTTATGCCAAACATAACGAGTGCCCACACCTGGATTTGACCAATCATGCCCTCGTCTGATGTTAGCACAAGATCTAGAGTGCTGTTATCTCAGGTGGGCTGTCATACTGTATGAGAGAGGAGTCCTGTACCAGGTCAAGAAATTGTTCTAATATTCATGATGTAAGATTTATCCAGCCTATTGCCTCATGGTTAAAATCTCCCATTTAAGAGCTTGGGCTTCAGCTGCACCATTTATCACACTATGAAGATCTGTAACTTCCTCTGCTGTTGCTGTGTCTGCCCTGTTCTTTAATTGCTCCTTATTAACACCCTCTCCCACGTTTAAATTCAGGTCGTCTAATCCTCATTCCACTAACTACTCTGAACAACTTCCCATTGCACTGCTGGGCTAGCTCAACTAGCTCTAACTGATATCTATTTTGGAAAGATCATACTGGAGAAGGCCCTTCATTGTTGTAAAGTTTCTTCAGTAAGGTTGGTGTATGCTGCCTTTCTCTACCTTGGGTAGCGAGTGTACAGTATTGATAGTACTATACCTAACTATGTTTGCATAGTTAGCTCCAGTTCCTTGGCCCTGCCTCTTGTCTATAAATCTTTTCATGTGACATCTCCCACTGGTCTCATTACATTTGAATTGAAATATACATGCATGTAATAAAAAATACATTACCACCATTATCTACTAATACTGTATGTCAGTGAATATCTTTTGTACTTTTATTTAATACATTATAAAGATAACTCAAAATATTTGCTTTAGAATAATAAATACAATTAACTATTAGCAACAAAGGAAAAATCACAGCACAAAGTATTACTGTATTGGTATTGATACCTCTTTGAAATGCAGTACTGTACTCACAATTGAAATAAATATATTAGAAAAAAGACCATTAATACAGCTACAGTCATGTGTAACAACATTTAAAGACTATTATTTCCTTGACATGCTACATCTTGCAGAAACTACTTTGATTTAAGGTGAAGGAAAGACCCAATATATGTGCAAGTCTATTCAAACCAAATTTTTAAATGCAACCAACATACTATATCAAGGTGTTGTAAACAATGTGGAGTACGTTGTTTACAGCACCCTGAAAAAAGATGTAAGTTGCACCCGAAAATTTTGTAATTGATACACGTGTATTGGATCTTTCCTTCACTTTCATTCAAGCACTACAGCACTGTAGTAAGTTTCTCCACTATTATGATTAATAAAGCAGCATGGCACACAAGATAAGGCATGCAACAGCTCTTTTAGGCATTGGTTATAAATTAATAGTTACCTGGTCAAGATCTTCACCATACATAATAGAACTCTAATAGTGAAAGAGATGGGAAAAGTATTAGTGGTAAATACATCAAATGACTGGTAAATAAATAAAGTACAGTATATAAAATAATTACTGTGTGCATCAGTGGAAATATTGCTAGATTCAGCAAGTATTAAAAGTATTATTTATGCAGCAGTCTTCTTACCAAAGTTATCAGTGGTTATTTTCATTACCTTCTACACCATTTACTATAAACAAGAACACATCACAACAAAACTTGATCACCCTATATTATAAAATCTAAACCTTTTTACCCCCTGCACTGTGCAACAGTTTCACACAACTCCTTCATGGTGCATATGAAAAAAAAAATCCCCCCAAATGTTATCTTTATAATACTGTATTGTTAATTAAAGTCCACTCAATCAGGGAAAATTTAAGCAAATGCATTATGTAGCTTTAAAGTGATACATTATTCATAGTTGTGTACTTTTAAAGAGCACAACACAGATGATGTCACAACAGCAAAAAAAAAAGTGACAGGTTGGATAACAAGAACCTTCCAAATAAGCGATGCCACATCAATACTGATACTTTTTAAGTCATTAGTGCTCTCTAAGTGGAATATTGTTGCACAGTAACAGCCTCATTCAAAACTGAAGAAATTGCTGACCCAGAGAGCGTGCAAAGATCATTTACCGCTAGCATCCACTCAACAAAACATACAAATTACTGGGACCGCTAAAAATTGCAAATCTATTCCCTAGAGTTCAGGTGGGAGAGATACATAATATTTTGTAATAATAATTACATAATTCTTTTGAATAAACATTTTTTATGTGTATAATTTACACTTGGAAAATATTACAATGATTGATTCCAAATCTGCACACAGAAATAACACCATATGAGGCCAGTAGGCATGATAGGATGTTAAAAATAGTCCCACTGAAAAGCAGATGTGCAATAGGCATGCTCTGCTTTTTTAAAGTAACTCCCCCATACTCCAGTCTTTTTCCTAGCCAAAATGGTTCTAGAACTAGACCACAACACTCTAAACTGTCCTGGGTTCGTATCCTGGCCAGGGAGGATTTACTGGGCGTCAATCCTTAACTGTAGCCTCTGTTTACCCAACAATAAAATAGGTACCTGGTTATTAAACGATTTGGTGGGGTCGTATTCCGGGGAACATAGGATTAATTTTTTAAATTATCAGGGAAAAGCACCAAGCCATTACGACTTTATAGCACTTGTAAGGGGTCAGGATAAGGATTTGGGATGGGACAGGGGTAAGGAATGGTGTCGAACCACTTGGACGGTCGAGGATTGAACGCTGACCTGCATGAAGCGAGACCGTCACTCTACTGTCCAGCCCAAGTGGTTGGACACATAAGATTAAGGACCTGCCCGAAATGCTGTGTGTGCTAGTGGCTGTACAAGAATAAAGAACTCTTGTATATATAAATTAAAAATAAAAATGAGCAATTTACATCTGTAGTGAGTCTTTACTCATGCACCCCACACCCATCCAATGGGCAGAGGTGAAAAATTTACACTCGTGTGCATGCTCTAAGTTAGCAAACTATGGATATTTGCTAACATTACATAGTTAAATAGTAACACCTAATTTTATATCACTGGTTTAGCAAAATTTCTAATCAAATTTTAAATAATGAATGTTTACAATTTGCCTAAAAAGCTATGCACACTACAACACAATTTATACAGCTGCATAATACAATTTCCTCATATTCGAATAATAAAATAGAGAATTGAAAAATTCGAAGCCTTTTCCTGGATTTTGTAAATGTTATTGTTTACAGTTGACACCTGTCATATTTTAAGGAAACACCCAGCAATAAAGATAGTATTAAATCCAAACACAAACTAAACTGACTTAATATATATGCTAATTCTCAAATAGGTAATTTATTCTAATCTGTAAACCAGAGTGTAACTAAAAAGAGTACAATATTGTGTATAGAAGTGCTTACGTTGGAGGCCATAGTTGCTGATGTCAACAGTGCGACGCCACGCAAGCCACTAGCCGGGGGTGCCGGGGCTCACTGGCTCAACCTCCCCTAGTTGTAATACTACTACATGTATTTATTTATTTGTTGACATATTTATATACAATAAGGTACATTGGATTTATGAGGGTATATAGCATTGATGTTACTACATTCTTGTAAAGCCACTAGCACGTATATAGCGTTTCGGGCAGATCCTTAATTTTAATTAATTACTTTCGCGCTCTAGCGACAACGTACGTCGTCGTTCATTTTTCTCTTGATTCTACTCTAGCGACAACGTCCTGAGTCGTTCATTAAAATTTTTTGTTAAAAAATGAAATTTTATCCGATCAATCTGGTAGTAGTTTCAAAATGAGCGCCTTTAGATTGCGCACAATTTAGCACTTTCGCACCCATATGTTGCTTGAGCACGACATATTTTTTTCTCTTGAATGCACTTCAAGCGGCATTTGAAAAATATATTTTTATAAAATCCAATTCTTATCCGATCGACTTGGGGATAGTATAAACATGTTTGCCATTAAATGTTTGCTTTCTCTAATAGCCACATAGCCTATTTGGGAGAACGGCATCATCGTGGTAAGGCCATTGTATTGTTGACACGACGCGTGTAATCAATGTAGTTTTTGATTTGGTGCCGGTCTAACGCATTCTTGTGTGACATTTTATAAATATGTCCTTCTAGAACATTCATTTGTGAACACATTGGTACAAAAATTAGGTACGTACATCGAAAATTAAGGTCAGAACAGTGAAAAGAATATACACTTTTCAATAGGTGTTTCGCCGATCTTCCGTCGGGAGTGAGGTAAGAGGTAACACTTCATCCACTTCCCACACTCTTGAGGGTGGGCCGCGATCATGATTCTACATTTATATGCATATTTCCGTGTAGGAAATTTTATTGCGGTGACAGTGATACTAAAATTAACGACGTAGAACAATTCTGGGGTTGATAAACATGAAAAGATCATAAACATTTCAGCGCGGTTTGGCGCTCCCTGCTAACGATCGCCATAGTTTTTTATTTGGTGCGGGTCTCATGTCGGGTTTGGTGAAATTTTACATATATATTCCTCTAGAGCATTCTTTTGCGAACAAATTGATACCAAATTTAAATACATACATGGAATATTAAGGTGAGCAGACCGAAAAAATTATAAACATTTTAGCGTCGCCGCGCGGTCGCCCGAAACGAACAGCGCACAACAGAAAGTACACAGTTTACTCCAGGGAGCGCGTTATTCTAATAGATAATAAATAAATAAATAAATAAATAAATTTTTATTCAGGTAAGGTACATACATACAAGGTAAGATACAAAGTTGATGGATTTATAGATAGAGCTAGTACATACAATGCCTAAAGCCACTATTACGCAAAGCGTTTCGGGCAGGAAAAACATTAAAGACTAAAACTTAATACTAACTGAGTTTAAAGTATAAAATGCGTTGAGAACAAATAAAAATAAAAATAAGAAAGGGGGAAACATGGCTGAAAAAGCAGCACAAATACAATTAGGTCGACAAACAGCGTTGTTTAAAAAAACAGACATGGGTTGACAATGTAATAATATTATAATACTATAATAATAATAAATAGTAAATAACTTGTAATAAAAGGAGCCCAATATTTTGTTTGCCGACTGATACGGTTTTCATCGTAATATATTTGAATGCATAGAGTACACTACAATATTTTGTTGGTTTTATTAATATTATCACTGCACGTATTTAATAAAAAAAATACGATAATATGATAACTTTCCAATATTTGCTTCTTTTTTTTAACAAGCATAGGTATACACAATGTGCTGCTACCTTATTCTATATGAAAGCTAACAGGGTGTAGATAAAAAAAAACTAGCTGTAAGTTCATCTAATATCCCCATCTCACAGGATGGTTAATCATATATATATTTGCTCCTCAATTTCGAACGAGAAGCAACGGGATCAAATTCAACAAGCCACAGTGTAGGACAGAAAACAGGAGATGCTTTTTCACCTATAGGGTTGTAAACCCGTAGAACCGCCTACCCGCCGAAGCCGTAAACGCCAAAACTCTGGGCATTCAAGTAAATATTTATATGACTGGGTTTTCTGGGACCAGACTAGTTCAAGAACTGAGAGGTATGAGCTACCAGGAAAGGCTACGGGAGCTAAACCTTACGTCCCTGGAGGACAGAAGAGTACGGGGAGACATGATTACCACCTACAAAATTTTTAGGGAAACTGATAAGGTGGACAAAGACAAACTAATTGCCATGGGTGGAACACGAACAAGGGGACGCAGGTGGAAACTTAGTACCCAAATGAGTCACAGGGACCACACTAGTCATGAATACTGGTAGCAGCAGCACCTTACTAGTAGGGAATACTGGTAGCAGCAGCACCTTACTAGTAGGGAATACTGGTAGCAGCAGCACCTTACTAGTAGGGAATACTGGTAGCAGTAATATACAACACTAGTCAGGAATACTGATAGAAGTGGCACCTCACGAGTCAGGAATACTGGTAGCAGTAATACCACTCAAGTCAGGAATACTGGTAGCAGTAATACCTCACTAGTTAGGAATACTGGTAGCAGTAATACCTCACTAGTTAGGAATACTGGTAGCAGAAATACCACACTTGTCAGGAGTACTAGTAGCAGTAGCACTACACTAGTCAGGAACACTGGTAGCAGTAACTCTACACTAGTTAGGAATGCAGGTAGCAGTAATACCACACTAGTCAGGAATACTGGATACCTGATCAACCAGGCTGTGACTCATACGTCAGGCTGCGAGCAGCCGCGTCCAACAGCCTGGTTGATCAGTTCAGCAACCAGGAGGTCTGGTCGACGACCGGGCCGCGGGGACGCTAAGCCCCGGAAGCACCTCAAGGTAAGCCCCTCACGAGTCAGGAGTACTGGTAGCAGTGATACCACACAGGGGACGTTTGAAAGAACTTTTTCAGTGTCAGAGTAGTTAACAGATGGAATGTATTAGGCAGTGATGTGGTGGAGGCTGACTCCATACACAGTTTCAAATGTAGATTTGATAGAGCCCAGTAGGCTCAGGAATCTGTACACCAGTTGATTGATAGTTGAGAGGCGGGACCAAAGAGCCAGAGCTCAACCCCCGCAAGCACAACTAGGTGAAATTATAAAGGGGTGCTGCTATAGGACTATAGTGTGTGGTGGGGGACCTTAAAGTGTACTGTTAGGGCCCTGTGTGTGGCGGGGACCCTTAAGGGGTACGTGCTACTAGCTAGGACTTTGGTGTGTGGTGGGGACCTTAAGGGGTGCTGCCAGGATCTTGGTGTGTGGTAGAGACCTTAAGGGGGTGTAGTGGGGATCTTGAGGCGCGTGGTGGTAAAATGGCGTATGGCGGGAACCATGGTGTATGGCGAGAGGCTTTGGCATGTAGCTGTCACCTTAAAAGATGCGACTAGAACTTTTCACGGTCCATAGGAAACATGAGGTGTGATGGGAATTGTAAGGCGTGATGAATTAGTATTATGAAGAATAGGCTGGAATTGTAAAAGGAAGGAGGGAATCGTAAAAGGGTTGGTGGCAATTGTAAAGTGTAGCGGAAATTTTAATTATATAAGGTGGCGGGAAGATTGAACTGAGCTGGCACGTCACTTCAGTATATTAGTATTTGCGGAAAATTTAAATACTGTAGGCTATTAACGAAAATAAACCTCCAGACATGTTGCTCCTGTACTGCTATAGCCAAGCAAGAGTTTGTTAAGCGCCAAGATGTCAAAACTAACATTCATTATGGCGTTAAAATTAAGATAATGAGTGTTAATTGTGGCGGGAAGTTCCAAAACAAATGAGTGGCGCCATCTGTAGCTGTATATAAGAAATGCGCGCCAAGTGTGTGTCAACAGCACATGCGCTCCTGTGCCAGGTAAGTCCACTACGAGCTCACCATAGCCCGTGCTACTTGGAACTTGTTCCGAGTAGCTGAATCTATAACAACAACAAAGTGCAAGTGGGTCACTTCAGTCCGGTCTCCAGTCAGGTGAACAGGTGCAGCTGACAACCGGCCCAAGTAAGGTAAGATTAGTGGAAAATTTAGCAGTTTTATTGTGTTAATGTAAGCTGTGAGAAGGATAATGGCAAATAAAACAGTCCAGATGAATGAGTTAATGTTAAATCTTTGGCCGAATAGGCTGTTGTCTGGTAATTCATTGTTCCGTATTCCGACTTCTACCCAGTTATTCATTTCTCCATCCTTACCCGTTCGCAGGGTCGTTGGTCTTCTGTTACTAACAACAAACTGCGTGCTTTTAAGGGTAGCGTGTCCCCCATGGCCTTCCTCCTACCACCGTAACCAGCAGTGGGAAACGGCTCTAGCAAGGTTACGCATTGGCCATACACATTTAGCTCAGGGGCGCCGCCCTGCTCCTTATTGTTCAAACTGCATTGCCCCTCTTACGGTCGTGCATATCTTCGTTGAATGTCCTGACTTCCAGGAGGTGCGTGTCTTGCTTCCCGACCGTCCCTCACGGTCACTTTGTCCATCTATAGAATCTTTGGTGAATCAGATACCTTTGATATCGTTCGCCTTATGCACTTTCGTTCTCGTATTGGCATCCTTAGTGATATTTAGCGCCTTTCGGATATCCCACATATTTGATGGTGCTACATATAGCCTTCCCGGCTTGGTGCCTTTTTTTGATAATTACTTACTGTCACAGTGTAGTGTAGAGAAAAAGCAGTTACAGCCCTGCTCCTGTGCTAGGTAAGTTCTCTACGGGTTCAACATAGCCCGTGCTACTTAGAACTTTTTGTTCCGAGTAGCTAAATCTAAAACAACAACAACATGGAGAGAAAGCTTGGATACGGGAGATACCAGAATCACTTAAATAAAATATATGGAACACCCTCCACCCTGATCATCACTGACTACATCAGTTCACAACGTCCCTGTTGATGGCCACACGTGTTGACTCTGGTGCCTACTCTTAGCTTGTATCTTATTTCACAGTACTGTTTACCTGCTATTGTCAATGTGTGATTTAATATTCCTTATTTGCTACCTCCCTCATGTTGCTGA